ACTTATTTCATGGTAGTAGGTGGATTCGAAGACTGGGCAAATTGAGCATAAACAAGTTGGAGGATGAGGCGATGAATTTCAAGCAAAAATTGATTATTTTAGGAAGAAATGTCTACCCAAGGATTAACATTACAAAAGGTTTGAAAGTTTGACAATGTGGATCTCTTTTGCTTTTTTACAAGGCTCATATTAGTCGCCTTGTTGTTGCTCAGTTGTCAATTTTTTTTTAATGTTGTAGTTATTGTTAGCTTTTTGTATTTTAATGGTGTGTATGTGAATATATATTTATTAAAGGGTTTTGCTAATGGATTTGTGGCAATTTTGGTATTGGTTGATAAAATCAGGTTGAATTATGGAGCACAAATTGAAGTTTATTTCAATATAATTCTATGGAGCATTCCCCAAGTCAAGAATTTTAACTATTTTTTTATCTGTCTTTTTTTTATATAAATATTTTTCCTTCTACTTATTTTGTTGTTGAGCTTTTAAGCATGTGGTAATCAAATTATACATAATAATCCACCATATCACCTTAGATTGCGCTCCTAATTATTATGCTGGTTACCAGATTTTGGAAAAAGGTTAAATCTCAGGCATAGGATAAGTGTAGGGGGATTGTGACTCTGACCAAGTGGTTTTTGACATGCTAAGTGGCATACTGGTATTGTTTGGCAGCAATCTTGGATTACGATTTAATGTAGGTTGTACAAAAGGGAGCCGAACTCTACTTCGGATAATGTGCAGTGCTTTTGATATTGGTTTTTGGAGGTGAATTTCAATTTGGTCACATTGTTGATGTACTGAGATATGTCTGGTGCATGGCACACTTTTGCTTTGCCATCAGGCATAACTTTTGATGCTAAAAAGGAAGCATGACCTTCTAGCCTAGCCAAGGAGCCAATGTATGTAACGCCTCAAAATTCAGGGCTCCTTTCTCAACCCATTGATCACCCATCAACCCGCGATAATATCCGTAAGTACCGTATAACTCGATACCACGTCTTGCCACCCATTCACCGGGATCATAACCAAAATAGAGTTTGGGCAGAGTCTCTTTTGCATGGAAATACTACTCAACACATAACCTGTTCACATATTATTCATACGACCATTCCAAGGTCCAAACCCCAATGTTTAAGACTTAATATTTGACCATTTACATCATCTAAGAAAGAAGTTCAATATGTGAAAGCTCGGTAAGATTACATTTAAAATTTCACTCTTCGGGAAAAAGTACCGGTACCTCAGGTAAGTGGTACTGGTACCTGAGACCTCTATTTGCTAGGTACCGGTACCTGTAAGTCGTGGTTCCGATACCTGGGCCCTCGATAGCTTGGTACCAGTACTTGTGAGCTTAGGTACCGGTATTTGAGCCCGCTGTAAGCGGGGGTACTAGTACTTGGAAGCCTAAGTATCGGTACCTAATCTCTCTGGGTGTTAGGTACCTGTGTGGTATCGGTACGTAGAGCTCAGATTTCTCCCACAACTTTCCCAAATCTTAACTTTTTTCTATCCAACTCATACCACACACATTTCATTCATTTGTTTTACAAAAAGAACAATGTCCAAAAGTGTTCCATTACATGTCTTTGTCAAAATACAAGTTTTGTACATAATTTACACAAGGCCAAAATAAAATTACTTAAGTAATTAAAAATTTTAATTTAAGAGTCACAACCCGGCTTTATCATCAACACGGACCCAAGTGAGGGCCATTTGCCAAAATTTGTCCAACATCTAAAATATATCCCTATAAAAGGTCACGCTCAATAGGGTATCTCTTGAGGAGGTGACTCCCCAACCCAGATGTATATGAAATATCATATGAAAATCATCAGCATCCATTCAAGAACATATATTTCATAAATGAATGATACAATTTTCATGTCATATCATGAAATGGAACTCACGTATGCAATGCAACCCGAACCCCCTACCGGCTCCCATAACACATGTCATGTCATTCGTATGCATCCGGGCATTCCAAGCTCCTGTCATTGATGTTAGACATTCAATGATCATTTTATAAAATCTTGTGTCTTTTTTGGAGTAAGTATTTATGGACTTCCACCAATGGTCACCTAACTGACACGACATCTATGAACTTCCACCAACGATTCTACGTACATAAACACATTTTTTGAGCTCAATACCAACGAGAGTGCGTATCCGAAATTTTTGTGTCTTGCACCAAAGGGAGAATTTAGCCCTTTTAACTAACCCCAACACATGTTTTCAATGCAACTCATACGACTCAGTCGAACCTAGGTCCAACTTTCTCGAGCCCACATATGCAAATAGCCACGAATTCGATGCTACCCGTGCATATACAAATGTAATGAATAATTACAATTTACAATATCATGTTCACCATATCATGATCATATTATGAACACATCAAATTTCCACGAACATTCCCAAATTGATCAAGTGTTAATTATATCATAAAACATATAATAGCATTTCACAACACCACTAGGCATGTTATAATATTTTCAATTCAAATAACACACTTAATCATCCATAGGCACAAATGTAAACACATAGCATGCCCAAACAAGTTTTTCGTCATGAAACCCATATCAAGCAATTTCATCAAACTCAAATCATACAAGAATTAATTTTAGCCTTTTCCTCATACCCATTTTTTATATTCTAACAATACTAGGTATGTGTTATACATGAGAATTCATCTCTAACACCTACCCATTTCATATTTCAATCCTAAATTGGAAATAAACCTAGTTAGGAATGGAACTCTACCTCTTGTAGCGTATATTTACATAGAATAAGCCTCAAAGACCCAAAACCAAGCTTCCCAAGCTTTATTCCAAAAATCCCATCTTTGAGATTTTGTAGAAACCCACGATCTTTGGTATGGTTTTGTAGTTTTGGTCACGTAGAACGACTTTAATCGTTGGCTCAAAGCAATCGAACGATTAGATCTTCGTAGATCGGAGGAGAAAGGTTGGAGAACTTAGAGTTTTTTCTCTCTCTCTTTGGCAAATGCAAGTGAAAATAGGAAAGAAATCTGATTTTTTTTTCCTTTTTTATACCCCTGAAACACTTGACTCTCGTTACGTCACACGTCTGGTTTTGTTTGGTCCAATTTTATCCCGAATCAATAAAATCTTGTCTTGTGTTAAGTTCAGTACATTTTTATTGAACTAACTTTAAATTATTTTATGAATTTCGCAAATAAAATCTTATCGCGTTTATTTTAGTCGTGTGACGCCAGATCACATCGTAAAATGTGAATAATTCGATTGTCTTGAAATTCAACAAAAATTGACTGTGTAGTTAGATTTCATAAGACGAACCCAATGGTGAGGTCCATTTCATCATCTAAATTCTAGAAAATTTGAATTTTAATCCGTAACGTAATGACTAATTATCGTTTTGCCATTTTTTATAAAATTTTTATATTTCCCAGAATTTACAATGTGCAACTGTGTTCATTCGTTTTTGGATTGTATCGATTTTAACTTGGTCAAGTCTAATGATTTAGAAGGCATTGTTACTAAGAATTGAACATTCTAATTGAAAAAGGAGCGACATCCAAATTTATCAATGAGGATTTATTTAAAGTTTTGAAACCTTATTGCTCAATTCCATGCAAGATGATAAAATTAGATTTCTAATTGTTTTTGCTTGGAGATATTGAGTATTAAGTTTTGCTTTTTAGGGGAAAATCTTAAAGACAAAGCCCATAACATGTGTATAGACGAGTGAAGCACATTTTCTGTTAACTTGAATTATAAAGTAGTAACGATTTCACTTTAGTACATAACTATAAGAAGTAATGTGCCTAATTTTTAACGTCAAGTAGGTAAAGTGCTTTCAGTTGAAGCTACAAGGCAATAAAAGGTAATAAAAAGGTTAACTTCGAGGGAATTACCTCCCTTAAAACTAACCCTAGCCTCTTCCGAGAGATAATTCTCATTCGAAAAATGTTGCACACACCAACCTCTTAACATAAATAACAGTCAATTAGGACTTGCACAAATCCACACCCAAAGCCTGGATAAGATTTGTCTTGTCAATGGAGGTCGTCTTACTAACCAAATTGTGTTAATCCTCAGAAGATTAACCTAAAATTACCAAATTTTGAACTCTGGACGTCTGATGTTATAACTCGCATCCATCATCACTTGAACTATGGTGTTGATAAAATATAATAACTCTTTTTAAATATGATGCCAAAAAAAAAATATTGAACTCGGATGGGCACACTTCCTTAGGGGTTGTTTGGTAAGAGGATATAGGGGGGTTTGACAAGATGAGTTTGAGAAAAATAGTCTAAAGGACCCCAAACTCCATGTTTGGATTAAAAATTCAATCTTGAATTTTCAAACTCGACCCGTAATTTACTCGAATATTTAACTCATGTTCATGAGTTTCGTCAAACTTATGAGAGAGGCAAGTTTGGAAAGATGAGTTAAACGGTTAAGAATACAAAAAATAATTGTTCTCTTTAACATATGAGTTGGATTGATTAAAGATAAAATAATTATTTATAGGATAAATAATTATAATATATTCGTAGATCTTACACGTGTATGTGTTACATACCAAACATATATATAAATCAAATTTAATATTGAATCACATCAAGAGAAGTTTGAATTTAAAAAGAATTGAAGAAATCAATTCAAATCCTCCCGAATGACTGGCCAAACAAGCCTTTAATGTCCCGACCAGCAGGATAACAATCCAAAAATCCGACACAACCCGACAAACAGCAGACTTTTTTTTTGTTTTAGGCCGCACCTTTTTAGTAGTTTTCAAATTTAGAACAAAGACTTGTAGCGTCAGATTCCTATTAAACTAATTGACAGTTCAAATTCGTTGAGAACAATTAAAAATTTGATGGTTCAAAGGAATCAGTGAGAAGAAGAGACAACCAACCAAGCCGGCCAAAAAGAGACGGAGAGAGAGAGAGAGAGAGAGAGAGAGAGAGAGAGAGAGAGAGAGAGAGAGAGAGAGAGAGAGACCAACCAATGGCCGGAAAGAAGCTAATATCAGATTTCATAATGTCCTTCATGTGGGTATGGTCAAGCGTGATCATCAAGATTTTTGTGTTCAAGGTGTTGGGGATTGGGCATGATGCCAAAGGTGAAGTTGTCAAGTGTGCTCTCTCCATCATCAATATGTTCTTCTTCGCATTCTTGGGTAAGGTCACCAAAGGAGGGGCCTACAATCCCCTCACCATATTGTCAGGTGCCATCTCTGGTGATTTCAGTAACTTCCTCTTCGTTGTTGGTGCTAGAATTCCTGCTCAGGTTAGCTTTCCCTTCGGTTTTTCCGTTATTAAATCAACTGGTGCTTAATTTAGGTCTTTTGACGGGAAATTTGAGTTTTTGCTGCTTGATTGGGATATAGATGGGTTATTGGGATTCTTCTGTTGATTTTGCTATTTGCAGCAACAGCTGATTGTTTTTTGGGTTAAATTTAATGAATACCAATAGGTTTTTCCCTAATTTGTTGGGATTTTTTTTTAAAATTTAATTCTTCATCCTAATTATGATGTGATTGGATATGAAATGTGTCATAATTGAGGTGGGTTATGCTGCTTGGCTGGAATTTAGACTTTTTGGCAATGTTGTGACTGTCTAAACTGGTGCTGTTAATTCAGTCCTACACGAAAAGGTGCCCAAGAGATTATATATACACATTTAGTTTTATAGAACTGATCTACCAATGGAATGAGTATGACCACTATGCCTATATGAAGAAAAAGCTGGCATCAAAGAAACTGAAGAGGCAAAAGGAGTCACGAAGCAACGAAAGAGAAGGATGCAGAGTGGGTTTCACGATTTTGACCAATTTTATAGGGTTTTAAAAATACAAATCTAATTATACGATTGATTTATTCTGACAGTTCATAGTTAAATGTTAATAATTTAATTGTCCAATCTAAACTGAATTACTCTGTTAACAGTTATTTTAAAAAATTTAGTTTGAACATTAGCAAATTTGACAACGGTATATAAAAATTATGATGTTCTAAATGTAAATCATGAATCATATTTCATATTAGGCCTATAGAATTTGGATTTAAAGTTTATTTGAATCAAAGTTTAATGAAAAAAGAATTATAGGTTGCTCTTGGAAATAAAAATGAGTAAGGTGAGGGTGTTTACTGAGATCAGATGATAATATTTTGGAGGTTTTATGACAAAAGTGATAGAAATATTTAATTGGCACAACCAAACCCAAGAAGAAAATTACATTCATGTCAGGCTGGACAAGTTATTTTTGGGTGGTGGCTAGGTTGTGGCAGGGAATTCACTTGATTGTGTTCGCTAAATTGAGAAGCAATCCAAGCCAATGATTATACCTAGTTGTATATCTGGCTGTGGCAGATAGGTAGCCTAAACTTTACTTGAATATTTTTAATTTAATTAAAAGCTCATCCTACAATTACAAAAAACAGAGCACTTAAACAAGGGCAATGAACAAATAGAAAAAGCTCCAAAGTTCCCACAATATCCTACATCTAAGTCTAAAAATCAATAGCTCTTATCGCTCCATCATCTATACTGTTACCATATTAGGGAACTTGAAGCCATCATTCTTAGCCTTTGTCTAAGCCTTCCAGCAAAATAGGTAATGAATAGGATTATGAAGGAGTTTATCTCATATTAGAAGGGAAAGACACCAAAAAATGAAGTCTAGAGTCCTATCGCCTATTCTTTGGAGCGACTGTTCAAGCCATGTCTTGTCCCTGAGGCTTGTCTATCTAATTGACAGATCAACTCTTCAGCTCACCTACGGACTATTACTCCTATCAACTCAATGAGCTTCAAATGATATTCATGGGTGTATATAACCTAAATGCAACTATATGCACATGCATTGATGAAAAATGGATGCAAATGTAATACAATTCTCAAATTTAACTTTAAAATGCACAAAGTCATTAATAATAAAAATCACATATGTTCAAAACATAGTAGCTCAATCCAAAATTTATTATCTTATTACATTACTCGAAGGTATATTAAAGAATATTGACCTCAGTTTGATGCATCCTGAGCAATCTCCCTTCAATTAGATTTATTTCACTTATACGTGTTCAAACTTTGTACATCTTGATCAATTCATATGTAACGTGTGTGAAATAAAACTCCAACGCCATTAGGATTCTGTCTAGGTCAAATCATTAATAAAGCTCTATATGAAGTCCTAATGCATCGTCTAAGTGACTACATAGCCACCTAGTAACATGGTTCAAAGTATCGACTAAAACCGATACGACTTGTTGAGTTATATTCGTCTCGGTTATGACCGATCCGATATCAATACACGATACATAAATATCACGAGTTACCCATGACTCAGCAATGAATCGGTTATAACTTGGTGGTATCGACTTAACTTGGACTCATATCGTTTAAATCGGGTGAGTTACATCGGACTCAGACCGATAATGGTAATAACTTGAGCAAAATCTTTAAAATCAAAATGGCAAAGAAGAAAAGGAAATGGAGTAGAAGATTTGAGACCGAAATGGACATTTTTCAAACCCTAAGTCACAAAAAATACAAGCAAATTCACCTCCTTTTGAGACTACAAAAACAAAATAAAAAATAAAAAAAAATTGAAACAATTGCAACTTGCAACGCGTACTTGTTAAAATCAAAGACACAAAAAGCCCTAGCATCATTGCAGAAGTCCCCTCTTTCTTCTTCTTCATCATCGCGAATGAGTCAGAGACTCAGATCCCTCCCAGCGAGCTTTCAGCGAGCAGCATTGACTCCTAGACCCTCATCGCCTCTCTCTCTCTCTCATTTGTTCTCTGTTCGTCGAAGTATGAGAATTTGAGTCTTTTTTTTTTTCTCAAAATATGTTGGGCTTTGGCCTTTTTAAGGAATGAGACCCCTTTTTCTTTGCCTCCCCCTTTTTCTTCTTTTCTCTTTTGGTTCCCAATAGTCCCACAATTCAAATTGTTTTGATCCAATTTTTTTAATTATATAATTTTTAGTATTTACCATATACTTAACTTATTAAGGTTGCTTTTGTATATGTAATGGAAGATTTAATAATTAAATGTACATAATGAAAAAAATACTTATAATTTCTAGTTAGATACACATTAAATAATTAAATGAAGAATTTCTTTATAAGTATATTTTCATTTTTAAAGCTATTAAGTTAACCATATATATACACATATATGCTTTTATAATTTTTAAAAATTACTAATTAAATTATATTAATATTGAACATAGATGATGACAAATATTTTTCGGTAACGCCCTTGTTATTCTTTTTTGCAATGATTAATGTGTTAAATAATGCCTTCTGGGGACATGATGCATGGATGATGATGTTTACATTTATTACAATGTTTTATAATTTTTTTGAGGCTTTTATATAACATTTTGAGCGTATCGGCCGATATCGCACTGTGACGCCGCGACCGATGTGTCTTAGTGGCCCCCGAGTCAAGGGTTGATATCGCGACCTTGAACCATGGTTAGTAAGTGTCCTATTTAATTTCTTTCTGAAAACTCCCTCTATCTTTTATTTCTTCTACCCATTAGCGCGATTCTGAATTTCGTGCTTTACATAATATAGTTCTAAACATGTTTAGCATTAGCTCTTTGAGCTTTACATGTAAGCAATGATATTAAGTATGTAGCACTCTTAATAATTCAAGTGCAATTGACGTTAGTCATTTATTTTTATGCCTCACTTTTTATTGGCCTCATTGGACTCTTTCCTTACATTTGGTTCTTTGACATCTTTTAAGGGATTGAGGTTTTACTAACCTTTAGCTATGTTTCCACTTATTATCAATACTTAGAGTCATGTAAGGTCATTAATCATTTAAACTAACATGACACCAAAGTATGAATGTAAATGGTTGAGCATACTAGTGTTATTTAATGCATGAAGCGATTAAGTCTCATGAGGCCTAGACTAGAAGCGAGAGGTGAAGCGAGTGCCTCATCGAAACAAAGTGAACATTAAAAAAATAAGCAAATATTTTATATTTAAACCACCACAGGTGAAAATTTTGGTCATTAGTACTCAACCATCACAGATGAAATGCTTTCCGTTATAATTAGGAAACAACAACAAAAATTATATGATTTTTTACTAAATCAGTCCTTTTCGAGAGAAGCAATTGAACTAAGCATAACAAAGCTATAGAATCAAACATGAGTAGTCTAAAAACAAACACAAATGAATCAATCTAAGCAACAAGTGCAAAAAACCAGCATAACAAAGCAGAACATCAATCATAACAAAGCAAAAAACAGAATCATAAAGCAAAAAATCAGTCTAAGCATAATTGCATAACATAGTATCTCAGTAGAAGTAGAGGGGAGGTTCTAGTAGAATTAGAAACATAATTAGCATCACAACATAATCAACAAAAAAAAAATAGAAACAGAGTGGAAGAGGGAGAAATAGAATCAGCATCATAGAAACACAGCCAAAAAAAAAAATAATAGAAAGAGAGTAGAAGAGGAGGAAGTAGAATCAACATCACAACACAACAAAAAAAAGAGGGGTAAATTAGAATGACACCCTTTGTTTTTGACAATTTCATTGCACCCTTTCTTAGTTTGAAAATTACATCTAGATACCTCGTCAGGTAGTGTCCCAACTGGTGTCAACAAAACACCTCGAAGTTACAACTTTACCCTCCAATATATACTTGCCTCTTTGCTACAACTGAACACAATGTCTCTCTCTCTCTTGGATATTGTCGCCGACCATAACACTCCTTCACGATCCCACCACCTTCATATTTCTTCTCTTTCTTCTCTTGTTTGTAAAAACACACACACACACACAGAGGATCACATAGGCGCACGCACCCTATAGCTCTTTACTCCTATGTTATCTTTTCCTCTTACCTCTCACTTAGCTGTTGCTTCCAAAGCTTGGGCCATGTCTAAAGCATCACAATTGCATAGATTAGAGCAGCACACTAGCACCTTGCAATCTAACTGTCGTTGAAGGATTACCATTCAGTTGCTTTAGGAGTCTAAATTTTGTAGTTGAGTAATGGTCGAGTTCAGTTTTGAGGTGGGTTTAGAATTTGGTTTTGATCAATTATAAGCAGGGTCAAACGTTGGGAAGATTCCTTATGCAAAATTTTTTTGGTAATTTTACGTAGATTTTGTTGATAACTTTGGGTATGATTTTGGACCAATTTGTGGATAAAATGTTATGGGCATACTTATAGGTAAATTATTCTGGAAATTATTGACATATTTTTTGATCAATTTTGCTAGTAGATTTGACATTTTTTTGGTAAATTTTTAATAATTTATTTTAGAGAATTTTTTGGGATATTATTAGTAGATTTGTGAGTAGATTTTATAGCCAAACTTGATTTATTGTGGTGTTTGATATTTAATTGAATGAGGTTTTAATTTTGGCAACAATGAATCCAATCTTTGTTTTAATCT